AAGAGAGAGAGAGAGAGAGAGAGAGAGAGAGAGAGAGGGAAAAAAAAGGAGGAATAAAATCGAGTTGCAGCCTCTCTCACGGGGATTAAGAATCACAGGGATGGCCAGTGTCGAAGGTCGGCCGTCAAATATATCCAACGTCGCGTCGTCGTCCTCCCGCAAAGAAAGGGTTGAAAGTCGCAGAAACTTGAGAACCCTCGGTGGTGACAATTTCAATTCTCTCCTCGCCTTTTTCTTCCATCTCGTTTTCTCACTCCGCCTCTCATGGTCAAACCACGCTCCACCATCTCTCTCTCTCTCTCTCTCTGTCTTCGTCGCAAAGGGTGGCCTAAGATTCTTAAAACTTCTCGCGAGATTTTTCGATTTTAATTACACAGTTTTAACATATTTTAATAAAATCCTTCGGCTCCCGTCCCATCCCGTCCCGTCCCGTCCCGTCCACCGTCCTGTTTCCACCCCGCCGCTTGGCGGCCGGCAAGCTGGTTTTCCCTTCTTTTAATTCCCGCGACTTCCTCCTCCCTCCTCCCCCCCCCCATCCACCGCTCCTCTTTTCGAAATCTGTCTCGACCGATCGAAATTATTCGAGTCCCGGACTCGACTGTTTTTGCCGCCGACTGTACCGGCGTTTCGACGTTAACCCTTTGGCTCGTTCGTTCACCTACACCCACACCGGGGGAGGGGGACGACCGAAGGATGAGGACGAGCAACACCTGTTCCCTCGACGAGAGTACCCGAAATCGAGCGTTCCACGGCCGTGCACGGGCCCCCTTCCTCACCTCCTCCTCCACCGCCGGTTTTTATACCAGTTCCTCGCGTTCGTCGATCGCGTCGAGGAACAGAAGAGCGTTTGGCTCTCGAGCCAACGTTGCGAACGTTGAACGCACGTTCCGTTTAGCCCGGCAGGCAATCGAAATCATCGAAAAACATCCCGATCGCTCGTAAACATCGGCCGCTTTCGAAAACCGCGGCGACGGACGTTCGTCGCGCCCTCCCTCCTCTCCTCCTCCCTCGCTTCCTTCCCCTCCTCCCCTTCTTTCTTTGGCCAGCTGTTACGCTGTTACGCTATTAAATTGAACGAGAGAAGAAACGCCGCGAGAGGAGCGACGATTCGCGCGCATTCGAGGGAAGGGAAGGAAGAGGAAGGAATCGTTTAGGAGAGTTTATTAGGGAGCGTAGGAAGGAAATCGAAAAGAAAATTTCCCGAACTGATTCCAGCTCGCAATATTCCATTTTCGAAACGTACCGGGGGGAGGGGGTTGCATTTCCGTCGATTGGAATAATATAATACCGAGAGAGAGAGAGAGACTCGGATTATCTTAGATTAGACTAGAATCGATCTGTACGAATCGTCGAAACGATACGCAACGCTCGCGCGTGAACGATAGAAAAAAACAATTGTCGCGTCGGAAAGGAATGGATCGCTCGAGCCGTCCACGTACAACGAAAACCGAGGCGAAGCCGAAACCGTTCACCTTCGTTTCGCCCTTCCTTTCATGCGGGGGACGAATAATTAACGGATCAAAATTGACCCGTCCCTCGTTAGATCCGTCCCTCCCTCGCGGGGGACGAAGAAAAAGAGGAAGGAGAAAAGGATTGAGAAAGAAGGAAGGAACGAAGGGTCGAACGGCGTAGGCCTAGCCTCGGAGAGAGGCGTCCAAGGAGGCGATGGCGATCGGAGGGAGTTGGAGCGGTCGGAACTTCCATCGATTCGGCCATCCTCCGTGTTTCGATCAAAAGTGCAGCGTACCAACTAACTGTGGCAGTTCTTCTCGCAGATCTTCATGCACAAGAGCGCGATGCAGATGCACGCGAGGGAGCTCGGGGCGGCGGGTGCACTGACGGGGAGAGGTGGCGGCGGCGTGGCGGGCGGGCTGGCGGGGCTGGGCCCGATCGGCGTTGGACCGGGCGGGATGATCGCCGGGAACGAGGTGAAGCCGCACCAGTGCCAGCAATGCCTCAAGTCGTTCTCCAGCAACCACCAACTCGTGCAGCACATCAGGGTCCACACCGGCGAGAAACCGTACAAATGCAGCTACTGCGATCGCAGGTTCAAGCAGCTCAGCCACGTACAGCAACACACCCGCCTGCACACGGGTGAGTATTTCTTTCTTCCTTCCTCCGCTCTCTCGAGCGCGGGGTGGATCGAGTAGCGACTTACACGCTACTCGGTCGAAAAACTTTCCGCGGCGGAATTAGCCACCATCGAAAAATCATTTCGCTCTCGCGAAATCTTTCGTTCTTTCTTTTCTCCTCCTCCTCCTCTCGTTGACGAAGGAACGAGAGAAGAGGAACGAAACGATTTGGAATAATTTTCGTTTCTCTCTTTCTCTCTCTCGGGACGAGGCGCGCGAAATAATCCGTCCATCCGTCCGTCCGTCGTCCGATCGTCGAACGACGAGGAGGAGAAAATGGACGAGTTTAATACATGCATTCGGTATTCCCGGGACTGATAGTAAATTCTATGAATACCGCATTGCATCGCGGCCAGTCGATAATCAATAAATTAATATACTATTATAATCTGTACGAGCGATCGTGCGTTCCGATTGTGGCTAATTTTAATGCATGCTGCGAGATTGCTCAATGCGCCTGGTGCCGCGGCAGAACCGTTCGTTTCCAAGACACCGTTGACTGAACACGTTGTCGTCCGGTATGCATACAAGTTGCGTATTGCAGATAAGTTCAATTTACGCGGGGGGCGAACGATCGAATTTATCGAGCGGGGAAACGCTCGACTAAGAATAGCGGTGACGGAGAAAGAACGGTGGAGGAAACGAGGGATATATACGAGGGACGACGAGGGACGAAGCGCGGGTAGAATAATGAGAAAATTCGACGGCAAAAGCCAGCCAATGGGTCGCGCCCGGGCTGAGAAAGAATTTCATTAAGGGATGAGCGTAGTCAATCGGAAGGTATTAGCCTCCGGAGAACCGAACGGTCAGCTCCGCGTATGACTGGACCCTTGGAGAAAACTCTCTCTCTCTCTCTCTCTCTCTTTTCTCGTTCGTCTCGGTTCCCGATCGAGAAAAAGATCGAGAGAGGGAGGAGGAGGAAGGACGAAAAGAAAGAAAGAAGGAGGGGAGGGGGGAGGGGGGGAAAAAAAAAGGAAAACGAAATCTCGTCGGCATGCCAGCTATTTAATCGAAACCTCGTCCAACGGGGTTTGAGCGGGAGCCTCGAGCTCTCGTTACCCGCGAGAGGATAACAGATCGATTCTTAACAAAACATTCCTTACGTCGAATGATTTCGTGGTCGCAGATCCGATTGGGGTAAAAAAAAAAAACTCAACTTTTATCGCTAGGAATCGAAAATATTTTCGCGCGGAAAGAAAATATATATATTCGTGACGCGATTATTTCTATAACCGTGTTCTTAACGATGAGAGTAAGCGTAAGAGTAAGAGAAGGGGGGAGGGGGGGGGAGAAGAGGAGGGAAAAAAAAAGGCCGACATTGATTTCAGCGCACTCGTTTCAACCCCTTCGTCCTTTTCGACGACTACCAACGAGCAAGTAACTACTGCTCAGCAACCCCTTACATTAATAATCACCCTTCCCGCGTTCACCGAGGTTCCCACTCTACTGGCCCGGCTACGGCTGGTACTTGAGCTAACGTCGGGTGCTACTACGCGCATCTATCGCATGCACGCCTTTCGGTTTCCGTGTCTTTATCGATGAAACGTTTTAAATAACCGTGTAAGGGGAGGGGAGGGCCCCCTCCCCCCCTCCTCTCTCTCTCTCTCTCACTCTCTCTCCCCCGACTCGAAGAAGAAGAAGAAGAAGAAGAAGAGAAGAAACGGAATCATCGCGAAGGCGCGAAAAAAAAGTCGCGATCGAACAATCTCGAATCGATCGGACGAAATTTTATCCCTTTATACCGCTCCCCCCCCTCCCCTCCCCTCCCCTCCCCCCCACTAGATATCCGACCAAGAAAATTCCTCATTTTCGATCTCTCGCCACCAACGGCATACCAATTTCTCACGATCGAAAAATCGGCGCGCTCGCAGTTGAAATTCCTTCCGAATTCTCCCGCCCGCCCCCCGGCTATCGTTGTTTTCCCGAAACGATAGCCGCGCTTCCGGGCCCCTCTCCCCCCCCCCTCACCCCCCCCTCGCCCCCGACCATTTGCATACCATATTGATTTCTCGTTTCGGTGCGAGATCTCGCCGCCTCGCCGCGATTGGCCGGTCGAGATCAAAAAAACGGCGGGAATTTACTGCCGCACCGTCGCGTTCACGCGCCGCCGCCGCCGACACCGCCACCCCCGCGCGCGTTACAACAATTCCCTCCAACGGCACGAATATATATTCGCACGCGCGCGCCTATAAAATTTGCAACGTATACGCATATAATTCATTAACCGAAATTCGACAGAAATTCGCGCCGCCCGCCCGCCCGCCCCCGTTCGTTCGTTCGAAGCGATTAAGTAGAGGGGTTGGAATGGTGAGAGAAACCGAGAGAGAGAGAGAGAGAGGGGAGGGGGAGGAGAGTGGTAAGAAACGGAAGGACGGACGAAT